AACTACAACATTTCTTTAGCAATTTCAGAAGTATAGAGCAAAGTTGCAATTTCAAGAGTTTTGAAGTAAAACACAGCAGACTTTCATTTCAGCTGCATAATGCAGCTGAAACGAAACATCACGTCTTCTGTGATGTTCTGATCACAGAAGATTTTTTTTTACTTCTGACAATATTAATTATAGCTAAAACAAACCCACCACATTTACTCTTTAAAAAAAGAAAAACATTTCCTGCCCATAAAGAGGTTTTCCAAGTTATTTTGCACAAAAATTTTACATGTCAAAATTAAAAAATCAGCCCAAGTATATCACTATTTTGCAGCTGTCCCAAGATTACCATAAGAAAACTAGAAGGCCTAGTTAAAACTGTTAGTTCTTCTAGACATTTATATTCTGCTAGTCAGAGTAAAGGAATTGTTCAGAGATTTAAAATCAGGAGTCGCAATGATCCCATATTTCAACTTCCTGCATAAGAGAAGCTGTACAATGTCACAGAAAAATTTCTGAGGCAAGACTGGTAACCTGTGGTTAAAACAAAATATCTGACCTTAACCTAAGAACCTAACAATGAATATCCCACCAGAGTTATTGGTATTTTCTGGTGAATCATTTTACTTAAAACTATGTACATAGTTTCCATTGCTGCCCTTACCCATATGCACTGTTCTACCTTTTCGAATTTGTTAAGATTTTGTCTATAACTTTTACAAGAGCAGTAGGAATATATTTATACAAATCAAAAGAAGACAGCATCAAAGGTGCTCTGTACATCTTTGACATGAAAATGCACCCTGAAACAAAATCTTAACATTTATGCAAAGATTAATTTTAATGTCAAGTAGCATATGCCTTTCCTGTTTTCCATAGGTTATTTTGTTTATGGGTTACAGGAAGCTAATGGAACATTCTAGATAAATCACAGATGAACGAAATTAACACATATATAACACAATCAATTTTGTATTTATTATAATAATTATGGAAACCTATCCATCCACTGGAAAATATTTTTCTAAGATCAAATTACACTGGGAAGTACTCCACTGATAAAACAATTTATGAATGAAACCCATGATACATAACAAGTCAGGAAAATCTCTTTTACCTCAGAAATGAAGATTTTCCCTAGTGTAAAAGAAGAAACTTTGCTCATGGAGTATAATATATACTGAATAATGGACCAAATATATGATAAATAAAATTATTTCATTTTTCTAATTTTGGAATATGTTTCATGTGTGTCAAACAACAAGTATAATGGCCTCTAGACTACAATTCAAAGTTTTTTTTCAAGAAAGAGAAAATTATCCTTTTTTGTGTTATTTCATCATAACAGCATAATGTGGTTTATACAAAAATTTGTGGTTGTGTATTTTCTGAGCTTAATGAAGTAAACTCATTAAAACACAATAAATTTAAGCCTAAATCATTATAACTTTGGATTACTAATGTTTCAACTTGATTTGTTTATTAATGTCATCTTTACCATCAATTTTTTAATCCACTGTACTGTATTCTTCAAATTACAAAAAATGAAGAACACATTTTCCTGGTTCAGTCCCATTTTTGTAAGAGACCCATGAGACTAAATGAGGTAGTTGCATGATTCCTGTTGTCTAAGAGCAAATTCTTTTGATTCCATTTACAAGATATAGTACTACTTCCACAATAATAAGACATAGCTATATGCAACTTTCTGCATGATCCCACAACATTTTAGGTCACTTTCGTTTTCCACAGACATAAATTAATTTTATAGTATTTACTATGTATCCGGATTGGAATGAAAGCTCTTTTTTAAAGCCCTAATTATTTAGTTCCTTTCAGAACTTATGTTTTTAAAAAAATCTCCTAAGTGTCATTGAAAACTCTGGGAATCTATGAGAACAGTCTCCTGTCCAAGCATACTAGAGAAGTATGATGTATTAAACCTGACAGGATGATGTTCATTAATCTTTGAAATGTAGTCGGGACACTGGTAATTCCAAGAGGCATTACATTAAAATGAAAAGCCCCCTTATGGCAAATGAAGGTGGTTTTTTGTTTCCTGTCATCATCCATTTGTAACTGCCAATAGCCGCTAGTTAAATCAATGCACCTGATAAATATTGCTTGACTGAGGAAATCTAGAGAATCATCATTTCTTAGCACTGGGTATTTATCTTGTTTTCTTATTACATTTATTTTTCAGCAGTTCTGTGCTCTGAAAACCTGTTCATACCATTTGGCTTTTCAGCAATTAACATTGGCCTAAGGGCAAACTGAGTGAGGGAGATGGTTTCAGACCAAAGCATATACTACAACTGTTGCTTTACCGCACTTCCTTACAGAGGTTTGTGGACAGAATTCCATCCTACAAAGCATTAGTAGTGTGTAGGTATGATATCATATAAAATGAGACACACAGCTAGCAGCCTTGAGAGCTGTGAAAATACCAACAATATTATACCTTAACCAGATAGTATCTCAAGGGGCAGACTTATTTCACGAGTATGCTATTTGGAGTAAAAGAAGTAAAGCACATGTCACAAATTTGCTAACAGTTTTGGTCCATAGTTGATTATATCCAGTTGCTAAATCAGTCTTTTCTCCCAAGACAGAAAATTCATTAAAAATTCATTTTGCCTCATTAGCTGGAGATGTTTCTATTTTGAGTTATACTCTAACCTGAGCTTTTTATAGACAGATTTCACTCAGAATTTGAAAAAATATCTGTAATAAAAGCTTGGTCCAGCAAAACAATTCATGCATAACTTGAAACATGAAAATAATGTCACTGAATTCAGGCCAGCTGGCTAGGTATTTGTGGCATTTATGTGGGCACCTATGGCCTGTCAACTGAAGTCACAAATTTTCAAGGCTATCCTGTGCTGCCATACATTTACACCACGTCATGGAGAAGGTTACTCTAATGACTGAAGAGTGAAGAACAAATCTTTCAGTACACACAGCATGGTTTGCCTGAAGACAAACGGCAGGGGAAGGAGGGCATGGATACAACACCGCTGCCTGGCACCACACAAATATGAAATGAGAAGCAGCCAGAGGACTGCTGATGTTCTGTGTCCACCCTCCATGTGACAAACACAATATTAATACAGAAAACATCATGCACAACAGCCACAAAGAGAGCTATTGAAAAAAATCCTGCCACACTTACAAAGAAGAGAAAGGAAGCACTGATGTATTTTGTCAGAAATAACCAATAAATAGCTTATATATATATATAAATTCTTCCATTCCAATTTCACATCATCTTTTAATATCATTAGGGGAAGTCTTACACTTTTGTCATCATTGCCATTCAGTGGGCTTTATCATAACAATGGTCATCACTAGGATGATTTCTGCAGTACATGTTAAGGTCTGGCTTCAAGACAAACAAGACAAGCTTGCTCCATCCCACTGATTTACCTCAGCCTGCAGGAATTGAAGGACAATTCAATGCCTCCACAGACATCTTTACTGGAGGTGGCTTTAGAAACCAAGCCCTGGCTGCTTGGCATTCACTATCCTTCTCACATCCTCATTTTCAGCTAGGAATAGCTTGCTCTCATGCTTGACAATATATATTTCACATTTGGTAATTATTCTTCATCACATTATCATAATGGACCATGTCCTAAGGGCAACAGCCCTTTGAGATTCAGTTCTCTTGGCCTCTCCCATTAATACAGGCCTACTGGCTGTTTTACATGATTGAGGTTTGACTCACAGAAATACAAATAGCATAAATTTAGGCCACTGGCTTTTTAATCTCCCCTTGGCTCCCCAGCAAAGCAGATGACAATATTCTAATCTGTTTTCCATTATAATTAAGGCTCTCATTTAGTTTATGGTTTTATAATTGAAGCACCACCCCTCAAGAAAAATCACAGGTTCTTTTCCAATTCATAGGAAAATCAGGGAAATTCTGCACATAGCAGAAGAGGCAATAGGCAGTAACAGAAAAGACATTTATATAGAAAAAAGGACATGTTCAAAAAGATTCACATATCTAGGGTGATAAAAAGCATGTCCACACAGCACAACTGGGAACATGTTAGAGAGCATTGAGCAAGCTCCAAATTTCTTTGCATCTGGTGCAATAAAAGGAAGCACTGCTCCATAAACATATGAGAAGAATTAGCATGCCTCACTGTGCAAGCTGTTTTGTCCTACTGACAGGGCTGTCTGCAGCCAACTCATTTGACACCAGCAATGGGTAATCCATGCCATGCCCCATGACATGATTTAAGTGTGCCCGTCACAGCAAACATTGCTCCAGATTTAGAATGGAGTTTCCCTTAGCTTGAAAATTTTCACAAAGGTTAAATCTTCATGTTGACTTTGGAGAGCTCTATATTTGTTGGCTTTCACTAGTGGGATGTAGCCAGTTTGTCTCCTTGCAGCAGGAAAATATGAACAACGGCTCACAACAGAGAAAGGTAAGTAGAGATAGGCCCAAGGCTGTGCTACTCATCCCATATCAGAAGCCAGAAGTGTGTGTTTGTTCTTTCTGTTGTGAGTCATTAATGCTATTTCAAAATGGGAAAACTTCAACTGGACTATTGTCCACCTAAACACACAATGTTGATTAAAAAGAACACACACAGAAAATGTCATTAGTCTTTTCATTAGTCACAGAGAGGATAACATAAGATCCCAAGGAAGAAGAAAGTGGAAATACAGGATTTTTTCCTACCACTTCCGGAAAAATAAGGGAAGGGAAACTTGAGGCAGAAACAGTGAAGTGGCACACAGACAACCTGGCACTTATATCAGGAGCAATGAGGACAGGACTGAAGTGAAGAACAGTAGTTAGGATTATGGTATGTGCCAAAAACCATCATCTGTCAGCATGGGCAAACCAGGCATGATAACAGCAGTGTTCTTTCAGGGTGCCCAGAGCTCCTGGACTACACAAGGGCCAGGAGGATCACAGAGCTGTTGGAAGGTTATATTCAAAACAAGTGTTTGCCAAAAGAAGTGCTATTTTATTGGCATCTTGGGGGGCATTTCTGACCTGCATTTTCCCAAGTAGTTGTGCTTTTTCCAAGCTGCTGGAGTATGCTCAAAGCTGGTGTGTAGTGAAGCTGATGCTATTGTAGCCGACAGGTGAGCTGGCCTCTCTGAGGGAAGACAGAGACACACAACTTTATTAAAATAAGCCAGTCCCTGTTATCACAAGGCTGCTCCACGAATCAGAACATGGTCCCAGCAAAGACAATGATAACAGGGTACTCTAGGCCCTTTCAAACACTATCTTTACAAACCAGGATATGAGTAGCATTAAACAGTAGCTAACTGCTGTTTACTGTCAGGCACACATTTTAATGTCTACACACCATATGTCACTTTCTACATCCCCATCCTCCCACATATTTTAAGTTCAAAAGAGCTGTCAGTCCTTATCTAACCTTTGGTTTTTGGGGAGTGGTTCCATATTATTTTCCCTTTGGTTCTCAGAGATAGCAGTTTAGGTATTACTTCAATGATATATAAAAATAATTAGGAAAAGATGTTGCAAGAAAGTTATTTTAATTTGCTTCCAGAGAAGGGGTTAAAATCAACTTCATTTCAACTACAGCACTGTTGACTAGCAGTCAAATAACTACTCTATGAGATGATTATGACTTCACAGCAAGGGGAGAAATTTTTACAGGAATTACATGAGAGATTTACTCTCTGCCATATGGATGATACAAGAGACAATGCACGTAGCACTGAGAGTGTTCAAGGGAAATATGGGATACCTGTATCTACTGCACAATATCTTTCATCCAGTGAAGCTCACTGTTGGGATGGCTCCAAAACTTCTCTGCAGAAATAGTGTTTAATATTTCTGTTATTATTATTCTGACAAGAGCAATAAATGTCTCAACTTTTCAAGCAGTAAATTAAACTAGCTGTTAACAAAGCTCCAAATTGAAATTATGTCACAAACAGGAGAAAAAAAAAGTTTGGCATTCTTCTACCACACTGTTTTCCCTATCCAAAAAAAATTTTTTAAAAAACCAATATAATTAGTTTTACTCATTTTCTTAACTGTTATTCTTCAACTTCCTAAAACTGCAAGAGGTTCTGAAATTGCAGATTTGTAAAAGGAACCACAGATATTATCAATTTCAATGCAAGGAGAAAGATAGGGATGAGAAAAAAGGATGTTAGGCCCACATCATTTTGATGTGGCTATTTTATCAGTATACAGTGCTTTCCACAAATGGAAAAAACATCAGGCAAATGTTGCTCTACCTTATATCAAGTTAAAGGTAAAAATTGTGAAGTTCCTCCTATTTTTGTAAAATTGTTCTGCTAGTTTTCAACACAATCTACTGAGAGGTTATCTGGCTTCATCCAACAGCTGAAAGACTTAGGAACAGGATACAAGTTTGAACAGGTTTTCTCAAAAGCAGTGAAATATTTCCAAAGACTATTTATATCAAAAATATAATACTTACTATTTAAGCCATAGCAGAAGAGGCTGAAATTCTGCATAACCCTAAAATCTTACCACCTGAGTATTCTACTCAGTTTTAATAGTGCATAAAGGTCATATACCCCAGTGAAACAGGGAAGAGACAGAAATTTTTGCCAGGCAAGCTGCAATGCCTCAATTTACCACTGAGCTGAAATGGATTTAAAAGTGAAACTAACTCAAATTTTACTAATTCTGTCATTGTAAAACAGATAAGGCTTATCAATATAAAAATTCATTCACAAATACCATCTGTAAAAGCACTTAGGCAAATTGATAAAAATACATTATGCACATTAATCAGTTTTATTAAAATTAAAAGAAGACATCATATTTATGCTTAAATTAGAATCATTGTGGCTTTGGGAAGACGAAAATTAAAAATAAAATAAGACTAAGCTAACAATGGTTAATGTTGAGTTTCTGAACTATAAAATCATAAAGCAGATGAGACTAAAAAAGCAGACTGAAGACTCCAACAGTTTAGATATGTACACATGCTTCAGAATACACAGAATGTTACAGATCTGAGGATCTTATGTCATAGTGATGTGTTGTTATCTGCCCTTCATGAAAAACCTAATTAGCACAATTATCTTCTGCACTAGGTGTGATACCTTTACAATTAATTCACATCACTCAGTGGATACCAACACTCCAAAGTCTCAGGAATTCCAGGAAACAGAAAACTTAGCTGGTCAATACTAACTTATTTTATTATATGATTGAACAAAAAATGTGAGGCAAAACATTGTTTGCACCATTGTTTAACACTCGAGTGGGATTTCAAAAATTTCTTGTGATTCTGCAGCCAAAATCATGCTCCAGTTTTACTGACAAAGGGGCCAACTGAGGCCCTTGAAATAAAGGAGTCCTAATATTTAGGAATAAACACTAAACTTAAAGGTCAATTAAGAAAATAAATCAGGAATTATTGCGAAATACTCCTTGAAAGAGAAGACACAAAATAAAGGATCACTGGCAAATGAATTAGCAATAAAAAATAAATTCATTTTATGATAGAATTAGGGCCATAGACACAAAATTGTGACAGATATATTCTATAGTTAGAACAACCAAATTAATCCAATATAAAGATAGATGGGAATTTTTTTAGAACACTCTCTTGATACTGTGTTTTGAAGTTGTACTTGTCTGCCTCTAAGACATTAAGAAGAAATTGAAAAACTGGAAAATACTCAAAGCTAAAATCTTCTGAGTGCCTGGGCTGGACACAGACGCCACTTAGATAACAGAGTTTTCCATTTTACAGCTGGAGAAATAGAGGAAAAGACTGAAGAACTCCTCCCTGTTTGGATTCCATGTTGGTGGTTTCTCAGAAGCTGAGTGGCACCCATTATCTCACACAAGTCCTTCATTGCAGTCATTTCAAACACACATTGCACCATCAGAAACGTGAGCCTGACCTAGTACAAAGTCCTGAGGCAAATAAACAGAAGACAGAGCCCTCTGTAGCAGAAATAAGTCCCAGACAGAGGCAATGAAAGATAAATCCAGATCTGACCACAGGACTTGCCATTCTGCCTCAAACTTGACACCCACTGGGCCTAACACAGTGTCTCCAGCAGCAGCCAGCACCAGATGCTTTGGTGAAAGATACAAGATCCCCACAGATGCAGGATAATCTGTCTCCCTCGAAGGTCTCATCCTAATCCCTTTAGTTATAGATTCCCTTAAATCCTGATGCATGAGGGGTTTTATCCCCTCAAATACTCTTTTTTAGCATTACTATCATAACTCTGGATATTCTTGTTATCCATACAAATGCCCTTTCCCTCTTCGATGCTTACAAAATTCTTGATTTCATCTTCATCCAGAGTAAATGAGTTCTACAGTGTTTATATAGGAACCTTTTGGGAAGTGTCTCTTTTTTAAGAGATGGAAGAAACCGTAGTCTCGTGATCTTTCTTCTTCGCTGCATGCCTCTGTTTTTTCTTTTTTTCTCTTTCAACCACATACTTTATCACTTCCACTCTCATCTGAGTCCTCAGGTAAACAATAACTTCAGATACATTTATGTCACTAGCCTTACTCTCTGCTTTGATCTGGGCCTATCCAATTCTGCAATATTTTTTTCCAGGATGGATTTCTAATACCCAATACATTTTATGGAACATCACACTGTTGGCTGATAGAATGACTGTGTGTGATTACTTTAAATTTTTTTCTGTATTTTTAAAAATTTTTTTCTGTTTTTTCTGAAATTCCGTAAGGCTCCTCTGGACTTGATTAACAAGTAACCTACAAAGAGGTTATCTACCACTAACATGGTGTTGCTGCCTCATTTCTCCTTCCTCTTTCCAGATAATTAATAAATGCATTACACAACAGCAGACCTAGTACAGAAACTTGTGGCTATTAACCTTTTGCCATGATGAAAATGGACCATTTGCTCCTGCTTTGTCTCCTGCCTCTCAGCTACTTTTTGATCCACAATATTACATTGCCTCATGGCTACTTGGTTTCTTTTAGAGGAGATAATATCAATCCACAGCCTTCAAAAACCCATGCATGACTAGCTTCAAAATCACATGATAGCTTACAAATCATGATATATTAAGACATAATAACAATTCTGTTTCTATCAGTGTCCGATTTCTGAGCTAACCTGATTCATGATCATGGACTTTAACTCCTGAGCTTCTAGAAAATCTCTTTTTTACAAAAATTTCTCATCCCATTTCTTGACTACTGTAATGAATAATTTTAAAGAAACAAAATCAGGTAATATGGGCCTTAATGAAAACCCTCAAGAGCTAGAAATGCTGAAAAGTATCTCTTCTGCCACCCTGTCAGACATCTTGTGAAAGATGGACTTAACATCCCCTCTATTCATTTGCTAACATTCATAAAGAATTTTAAGACAGTAGCCAGACAAAGTTTGCTTTGCAGAAGTATAAGATTAGCTATGGATTATTATCTTGCAACTCTTTTTTCTATTTCAGAGTTACTCCAGCTAAGATTTATCAGCTAGCAGTCCCACAGAGCTCCTCTGGAACCTTTTTAAAAGATGTGGTCAGAATTTCTACCCTGTCATCATCTGATCATTAGTTAACCCGTTTTAAGCAACTTGGTTTTGCTAGAAATTCAGCTGAGTCACACTTAAAACACCTTGAAAACTCTTGGATATTTACCATTTGGACAAGGTCACTTAATTATTTGGAAAATTTTCCTAGTTTACTACACCTTTTAAAACTATAGGTACAAAAAACAGCGTCCATTTTAACAAATCAATGAAACACTGAGGGATAATAAGTGTAAATAACCAGATATTCTGTTTTAAAGGATACATGAATTGTATAAGAAACTTTTTTTTTACTTACTTCAACAGTGAGCTCTAAACACAAAGAGAGAAAAAGCTCAGACAAAATAGACACAGAGCAAAAAGGACAAGATTGTCAGGGCAAATATCATACTAAGGATTACCTTGGCAATTGCAAAAGTCATACCTATGGCTACATTTTTTTTTAAGTGCCTCAAACATTTAATTTTATTTCCTCCACCTATTATATCTATCCTTTGGAAGAAAAGAGAGGTTTCATACCAGCCTCCACTCCACATACCAGTATCCACTCTTTGAAAAGACCCGTGTGCATTCATGTTTTAAAATATAAATTGTGATGGTTTCACTTGCACTCAGTTGCCATTGTTCTATTCGAGTCCTGTGTAGTTGAGGGTCTGTGAGAGAAGCTTGAAGAACATGCAAGTCCCTTTAAGACACTGTCATAGTTAAAGTTTGAAAAACTTAGAGGATCAGTGGGAGCACAGGATATAATTTGAGATGGTCAGTATAATTTTGTTACCTGTGGCACCTACAAGAAGTAGCAAAAAACTTCTGCATGGACCACTGCTAGTTACTAGCAACTGGGATGACAAAGTGATGAGGAAAGTACACCAAGATTTCAAGGAGTTAAAGAAAGGTAAATAGCAAAACTCTTTCAGAAAGAGTATATGATATGGAGAAGGAAATATGGTTCCTTTGTCAAATCACTAATAAAAATACTAGCAAGAAATTGCAAAATATACCTCACTTGTTTCAGTAAATAAATAAAAATGTTTTGTGTGACTAAGTGCAAAGTTAAAGGTTTATCTTGTATTACTGTAGTTGTTCCACCATATATTTTATATGTGGGATCCAGAAACTTGAAGTTTCACAGTATTGGAAAAGTGGAATATTTTTTTAAAGAAAAACAATTCTATGTGCACTTTTAAATGGCAGACTGTATAAGTTGTACTTACCTAAGCTCACAAATCAAATGGAAATTCTGCTGCTTCCAACTTCCATGCTGATCAAAAACCTCCCCTGAACTGGTAATTCCAACTGCAAATATTGTGAAGTATAAGAGAGAACAGAGGCCAAATCCTTCCATCTTTGTAAATCTCCTGAATTTGTATTGTATGTTTTTATATTGTTAGCATGATCCCACAAGGTCACCATTCAATGCCATACGTGATGCTGCTGCACCATTTTGGGAAGGAATTGCTTACTTTTCCTGCATCTGGAAGGCACACCTCATGGGAAATATTGGTTTACACATCATTTTAAAGCAAAAGCTGATTTCCAATAAAGACTGTAATAGCAAAGATATAAATTTATTCACAAATACCAGACAGCACTTAAAATTTTCAGATATTTCTGGCACAATAGTTATATTACAGTGCCATCCACTGACTCTCTCCTGCAAATACGTGCACTGACACACACAGCTGCTGTTCTACATTGAGTTGGCTTAATTCCCACTGAAGGGACAACCATCCCCAGACAGATATATTCCCAATTCATTTCCTTCTGCAATGATAACTGTGAAATTTACCCAGCTCACAAAGGAAGAGAAATAATTTCTGTAATAGCCTTAATGGGTTTT